TAAAAACTTTCTCTCATTTTGCATTCACTTTGACAATCAGCCCAAAATGAGTTATGAACTAGTCAGGGTAAGAAGTCTCATGGTTCAAGCCATTGTATGTGTTCCTTTCTAAACAAGTTTACCATGGCAGCACACTGGGATTGCAGGGGATGCAAAGTCATAAATTTCTGTTCAAAATGAGTCACTGTCTTGAAAGAGAAAATGCAAACCCAAATAAAATACCTTTTGGAACGTTTTGAGGTTTCAGGTTTGTTCCTTCTCCATACAAGCTGACTGGCAAGTTAGCAGAAGGTGCTAATGTGAATCTCTGAAAAAAGAAAATGTGAAAACATGTTAGTGACTTTGAAAGACAGGCAAAAATAAGAAAAAAAAGAGGCGTTCATTAATCCCCAAGCCAGCCAAATTCAGAGGAGACTGAAAAAAGAAATAGTGGAAATACATTTGGTGTTTTATCAAGTAGACAAACCCAACACAAATCAAACTTGTTCCAATGAGGGATGATACAGGATTCTTTGTACTACAGGACAGATTTGCCTTGCCTGATATGATCAAGAAGGCAAATCTCAAGACCTTCTTTGATAGAAACTAAAGCTAGTTCCAGTCTTTCCAGTTAAGTTGTAATTTACATTTACTGCAGTTCAGGAAGAACTCTCTAGAAACTTCAATTCAAGTCCTTCTTTCTTTCTATCTTCTTTCAAAAATGTTGCTTGTAAGTCCAAAAATCAAAATAATTATTTTAATAATCTCTTTGGGAAATGGGAGAAACTTAACATAAAGTGCAAATAATAGAAGTGGTATTTTTCAACCAGTGGGACTACCATAACTCTATTGAGAGTCTCCTCACTCAGAGTAAATTCCAAATTATTGAAATTGTTCCAAGATATTTATAATCTAATTGGCAACCTGTAGTTGCAAGACACATAACAATCAGAGGAGTGAAACATCAACAAGCATTTCACCTGGTAAGGCTTCAAAGACATACATGTAGAAATCCTGTTCCTAATATCAAAGCCCTGTCCTTTGTTCTGAGCTGACAACTGCTGCAAACAGACCCTCTCACTTGCTGTCAAGGATGGCCACATCCTTGGACAAGGCAGTAATTCCACTGCAGCCATTATCCTTGGGATGTGCTTTCAGGACTGGAAGTTTAGAAGAGAACGATGCAGTCTGGGGACTTACATGGCGGAACACTTTCCTGAGGTGTTTGAACTGTAAATAGAATCTGTAGAAATGGAGTTGGCTCATTTCGTGTAGAATAACAACCACAACCCCAGCCAGGTGGCTTTGGTGAGATATACGGCACCAGCTGCAGTTAAAAAAAGAGCAGTAATTTAAAAAAAAAACCCAAACAAACAAAAAACATAAAAATCAAAGCAAAACAATTATCAAGCACTCTTAAAAAAAATGTTGGAACCCACCCAGCTTTTAAGTCAGTAAATGGCAAAGTGCCAAATGACTTCAATAAGAAAAGGCTTTATAGCTTATCTCAAACAGCCACATATTCCTGGAAGCAACAGAGTATAGGAGACAGAGAAAGAAGTTATTGCAAATACATCAGAATGTGATTATACCAGCAACTTCAATTGTAGTGACATAGTCTGGTGAATTAATGAATCAAAGTAAGTTTCACAAAATAATTTTCTATTCACTATTAAAATCTAAAGTGGGGTATTTCCTGCTTTGAGTTTCATCTGAAGATTAATTTCATTTAATTTTTGCCATTCAAGGTTATAAACCCTCCTCAGTCTTTCCCTTCCAGTACTGAGAAGTGGCCCAGAGAAAGGGAGAAGTGACTAAAATGGTTTTTGTTTTTTTTTTCCTAAAATGCTCTAGAACACCCTGTTTCAATTATATCTAACATGAAATGCATTAATATTTGTGTTAATATTTTAACAGGGTAATTTGTTTCCTCAGTGTGTGGAGCTTCTTCAGTTCCACAGCAGTCATTTAGTTTTTCAAAACTGCATGAAACAAAACTGTGGAGTTGTAGGAGTTCTGCCAGAAGAGGAATTCTGCCTCCTGGCCAAGTCTAACAATAACTGTATCTGCACAATCCAGGCTGCCATTATGGCAACACCACAGCGAGTGCTCCAAAGCCAGCGTGGCCAATACTCCTCCAGGAATGTTTTCACACCAGGGAGAACACGAGGCCAGGCTGATTGCAGCTGGGGATGTACCTGGGCTGTGCTGTGCTGTGGCATTTCCCCAGAGCCGCGTATTTCAGCAGCTCATACAGCTGCTCCTGGCTGATTTCGGAGTCCTCGCCCAGCAGAGCTGCTGACAAATGACAGGACTTTTCCTGTGGAAAGGGAAATGCTGGTAAAGAGAGGTTTCATGTAATCACACCAGCCCATGAAGAAAGAAGGAAAAAGAAACTACTTGGATACAACCAGCTACATTTAAAGTAACTCTTCCACTCCTCCTTTCAGAACCCACTGTAATATTAAATTTAGTCAACATTTCAGTAACCCAGGTACTCTAACTTCAAAGATTTATTTAACAAAGATTAACATAAGCAGATGTATGCAGTAAGGAGCAATTGATATGCAAAAGCAATATCCTGGTCTCTCACCCTCTCCCCCACTTGCTGCTGTAGAGCTTTAAACATTTGTACAAGTATTGCACTCTGCGTGAGGTTTTCTCTATCTACAGCGTGGGATCCGCTCTGCCACAAGGGTTTGCTGACCCCTGCAGGGAAAAATGCTTCAGTAAAATCCAAGGAAGATGCAGAAAGGAAGCACTGAGGAAATGAGGTGGGGACTGTGCCACACAGTTCTACATAGCAGTTCTTTAAGCCTAAACGCACAAATTCTTCTAAATGCTAATTATCAAGTAAATGTGGCATTTTGGTGACCTCCACTGACCAGACAGCCTGTTCCAAAGAACTCCTGTAAAGATTTTCTTATTATAGGTGATGAAAAGACACCAAGGCATACAGGGGGAAAAACACCTCACAACACTAAAGAATGTAAAACCTCACAGCATGAACAACCACTGGAAGTTCTTTTCCCCCCACACACTAACAAGCCATGTGCTCAGTAATTTACACAGAGCCTGCACTGGACTGGGCTGGTGTGCTCTTCAAGACATTTGTCACTGGGTAAGAAAGTTAAAGAGAGGTGACAATGTTTGTGGTTCCAGTGGTTAAGGATCGTCTGGCAATAACAGTCCAGGCTGGTGTAATTGCTAGTGCCTCATCTCTCAAGCTGAGACAAGTAATGACACCGTTGTTTCCAATACAGCCTAATTAAAGCTTTGCAAAGAAAAAAAAAAAAAAAAAACCAAACAAAGAGCAGAGGTTTTGGTTCACCAAGGAGAGGGTACTGCCAACCACAGGAATTCGCCTCTAACCGGGTACAAACAGGACAGATCTCACAGGCTGGAGACGCCAACTCCTGTTCCACGGGCACTGACTCAGTGTGCCCTGGGTGAGGTGCTCCTGTGGGGCTGCTCCGCGTCCTTCAGCCGTGCATATGCTGAGCACACACAACGCTCCTTTCAAGATCGGCTTTGTTTTCGACAATATTATATTGGAGAATGTACCTATTTTTTAAACAAAATTCCTTAAATGTAATGCTGAGCACTCCAAACGAGTTACTTTCCACATCTCTTGGAGCAGAATCCAAGTCATTATCAGGCTCCGCAGGGCAGCGGTCACGGCCCCAAACCTGCCAAGTTCGAGGAGCGTTTGGACAATGCTCTCAGGCACATGGTGGGATCGGACTGGCCACAACTCCAGGGCCAGGAGCTGGACTCGATGAGCGCTGTGCACAGCTCAGGACATTCTGTGCTGTTACCTGCGGGCACTGGCTGTACCAGACCCTCGGCGTACACTGCCGGTGTGCACGGCTTTGCGGAGCTCCCAGCGCGGGACACAGCAGCACCGCCGAGAAGCGCCCGCAGGGGACACGGGGCCCGCGGGGGGACACGGGGCCCGCGGGGGGACACGGGGGGACACGGGGCCCGCACCTCGCTGCTCCCGGCGCTCGGCTCTCACCTCGGGGCCCAGGCCCGGGCCGCCGCCGTCGGCCTTCCGCCTCTTCCGCGCCGCCCGCGGCCCCTCCGCGGCTTCGCCGGGCCGCTTGCGCCCGTTGAGGCGCAGCCCCTTCGCCATGGCCCCTCACGGCCCGGCGCAGCCCCGCGCTCCCAGCGGCCCTCGGACCGCGCTGGGCGGCGCCGGGGCCGCGGCCGGAGCAGCCGAGCGCCGAGAGCGCGATGGGGGCGGGCCGCGGGAGCTTTGAGACGGCGGCGGCCCGCTGAGGCGGCGGGTGCCCATGGCCACCAAGCACCTGGCCAGGTGCGCTGTCCGGGGCGCGGAGGCGGTGTCCGGGCGCGGAGGGGCCGCGGCGGCCCCTGGCTGAGCTCGGTCGGTGTCCGCAGGCGGCTGGGGCTGGCGCGGAGCAGCGCACGGGCGCGGAGCGGGGCGCGGGCGGCCGCGGGGCAGCGCTTCGCCTTCCTGATCGTCCTGGACTTCGAGGCCACGTGCTGGGGGGACCGCGGGCGGCGCGGGCCCGAGATCAGTGAGTGCCGGTGTAGTGGAGTAATAAATACATCAATAATAGAGTTTTTAAAATATATATCTCACAAAATATTCTGAACTGGAACAGGCTGACAAGGATCACCAAGTCCAGCTCTTAAGCAAATGATCCACCCAGGGATCAAACCCACAAGCTTGCCCATATCAGCATCATGCTTGAACTGTGTGAACTCTGTGTTTATATATATATATATATATATATATATATATATATATATATATATATATATATATACATACACACACACACACACACACACACACACACATATATATATAAAATCAAATCGTGGCATATGCTCAGTATATCAGGGGCTGGTATGAAAATGGTCTTATTCCTGTGAACAGTTTTAACCTTTCTGGCTTTTGTGTTATGGTTCTGTTTTGTTTTGTTTCTTCTTCTCCTTCTGTGTTTTTTTGCAGTTGAATTTCCAGCAGTCCTGTTAAACACCTCAACAGGAGCAATTGAATCTGAATTCCACATGTATGTTCAGCCTCAGGAGCATCCTATTCTCTCTGAATTCTGTACAGAACTAACTGGCATAACACAGGTATAATTGTGACTTAACACTGTTTTACAATTTTATAATTGCTGTTTATTGTTTTATTTAAAGAGACTTTTCAACAGTTAAAAAGAAATAAACCTCAAATGAATTTCAGCGCATTCTAACACATACATGCTTCATGTTCTGTTCCTTGAAGAATCAAGTTGACCAAGGGGTGCCTCTCAACATTTGCTTATCACAGTTTCTGAAATGGGTCCAAAAGTTACAAAAGGAGAAGAAAATTACATTCAGTACAGATAGTCAGAGTAATTCTACTTCAGAAGCAAAAGCGTGTGCCTTTGTTACATGGACAGGTAAATAACATTTTCATTTGCTTTTTCTGCACAGTAATAACATTAGGTGGCACTAGTGAGATTGTGTCTTCACTTCCACTCAGCCAGACTCCTATTATCAGGTATTAAAAATGTGGAATATTGGGATAAGACTGAAAATATGGAATCCTGACATGTTTGCTGCATCTTTGACTCCAGGGTCTGACACGGTTACATTTTTCTGCTTTAGTGAACTGTATGATCATTCTTAGTGAGTCTAAAGGAATTAATGATGTCTTTGAGATCCTTAACTGTCTGAAGCTAATTACTAACAACAGGGGTTTGCTTCTTTTGGTGTGCCATTGCAGCAATCCCAGTGTTTCCCTTGGACAACTGCTTCACAGCCTGTGCCTCCTGCCATCCAGCAGCACAGGATGCTGACAGTGTGTTGGTGTTGTGTCCCTTTATGTGGCCTAAAAACCTACATAAAGGGATACATAGGCCACATTATGTGGATTTTAAGCCAGTTCTGCAGTGGTGGATTGACTGTGGTTTTCCCTGCACAGACTGGGACCTGGGTGTGTGTTTGCACTACGAGTGTAAAAGGAAGCAGCTGCGCAAACCTGACATTCTGAATTCCTGGATTGATCTCAAAGCAACGTACAGGGTGAGAGGATTGACAGACTGAAACATTTCTATTCACACTGACCTCAAAGACTGACTATACCTGAGCTTACAAGGCAATGCTGCATGTCCCAGTGACCAGAGTAACCTGGTTTTATTCAGTGTTGGTACTGCTCAGTAACCAGCTGCCCTAGAACTGCGTGAATTTGAATAGAAATCTTCATGTTAGGAAAAGATTGTTGTTTGATAAAATCATGATAATTATGAGAATTTATGAGCTGCTCTTCCTTTCCTGATAAGTTTTGCTCTCCTTGCTTCCTATCTTTTTTTCTTTTGTGTGCTCTTATTGCTGCCTTGTATTGCTGTGTAGAAGTTGTCATTATAGTGTAGAGGTACTCAGAGGTACCTTACAGGTAGGCAGAAGAATTAGGTCTCTAAAGATAGTGTGAATATTCCCCCTTTCTAGTGATCAAATCAGATAATCATATCAGGAGCAAGAAGTAGCACTCACTTTTTTCATTTACAAAAAATCCATACCTATGCCAAATCTATTCATGCCCATGCCTTTGATTGCATCTTAATACAACTTATAGTTGTATTCTTCCATGCTGGTCTGTTAAGACTTTCATCAGTGTAAGTCATAGAGTGCAGACAAATTACTCCAGAGCTCAGACAGAATGGATTTGCTTAAGACTGAGAGAAGGGATTCATGTTTATTTCCATTCTGATTTCTAACAGGGTAAGTAACTTATGGTCTTATCCTCACTGTAAAATGCAGATACCCATTTCGCTTAATTGCCTTGTGAGATTTATTATTTGTAAGGGGATATTTCTGAAATGGCTTTGCTTCACTAGGGAAAGATTTTTAAATGCTTCATGTTAAGCACCTGCATTTCTTTCCTTAGGCCTTCTATAACAGAAAGCCTAAAGGGCTAAATGGAGCTTTGCAGGATTTGGGGATAGCTTTTGAAGGACGGGAACATTCTGGTAAGCGTGGTGATCCTCATTTTAATATATATATAAATATCTGTATCTTAGAAAGCTAAATAGTACTATTTAGCTCTAGTTAACCTAAAGCAGCTAGTTATTACTCTGAGTAGTTACTACTCAGTTTCAGGTTATGCCATGTTCTGCCCAACAGACCTTCAAAACAAGGAAGGCAAAGTGCTCTGAGATGAGTTTGTTATTTCTAACCTCATACTTCATTTCGGAAATCTCTTCTACTGCTCCTGAAAGTATGTTCACAATTTTCACAATCAATTTATGAATTTCTAGGATGAAAAAGGAAAGAGGTGGAGGGAAGATAAAGAAACTTGATTTTACCTGATAGATCTGGATATTATGTTAATGTGAGAGAATTCCAGCACAGTATGTTGTTTTTTTTTTAACTTGATTAATAAAAAGAGCAAGGATATTTAAAATTGTGAATAGCTATTCAGCTCTATGGATAATCATTCAGATGTTTCAGCACAGAGAATTATTTGGAATTTTCCACTTCATTCTCTTTTTTGAACTAGATGACTAAGTGTCACAGTTCTGTGACTCCTTGTCATTCATGTAAGGCTTACCTAGATTACATTTCTCCAGTAATAAGAACTATCCCCAGCAGCAGTTAAAAAGAAGACATTAATATAACCATACTTTTGAAGGGTTGGATGATTCCCGGAATACTGCTCGTCTTGCTTGGAGGCTGATTTGTGATGGATGTGTGCTGAAAGTTACTAAATCTTTGGATAAGGTTGGTCACTACTTTGTATCTTCCCGTCTACTTGCTTTGTAGCCTGGAATACAGATGAAAGGTGAGCTATTCAAATAATAAACCCAGCATCCTGACTGTGATTTGGAAAGAACATCCTTAGGCTGATACGCTTATTAATTTTGTGCATTTATTCCCAAAATGTCTGGGTATTCACTTTCCAAAATCTGCTTTTGTTTATGGACTCCCTAGGCACATCAGAAGAGTAATTTAATTTCCAGAACACTGACTGTAAATGTCACTGACAAGACTCCACTGGGAAGTAAGAGCAGACCTGAAACATCTAGAGATGGAACTTGTGAAACAAAATCTCTGGCTGAGAACAAACACGAGAGTATTGCTGGAAACAAGATAAATTCCAATGTACAGACTGGGGAACAGCAGATCACTTGCACTGATCCCTCTGCAGATGTCCGTGTTGTACCCAGCAGCTCAAGGACTGAATTCCATGCTCAATCCCAAAGCTCTTCAGCAGCATCTCCTGACAGATTTCCCATTCCTCAGGGTCTGGCACAGCCATGTGCCAGTCCTGCATTGACAGGCATCCAGCAGGGACTGAGCATTGGGCAGCCTCTGAGAACAGCCAGGCTCAGCCTCCCAGCACAGGGATCGGGGCTGGTGCTGGTCTCCACCACCATCCCCTCAGTTACTCTCTCCAGTGGGGACATCAGCACCAGTTCCGAGTGCTTGTCTCTGCTGACAGACTGGGAAGATGTTGCTTTGATACCAGAATCTCAATATGAACAAAATTCAGACTCTGTTCAGCTCAAGGATGACTCAAGTGCAGATAATCTAACAGTGTCTGAAGAAGAAACTATTTCAAAACAGTTGGCTGTGACAAGTTCAGATAATCAGAGTTCAGAGGAAAGTGTAGCACCCATGGAACCTCTGAGGTCTGTTGTTTACAAAAGTCCTGATACTACAATCTATAATATAGGGACAGTACAAAGGGAGAGTTCAAAATGTTCAGCTTTTAAGTTGCCATCTGCAAAAGGAAATGCTGTTTCAGCACAATCAGCATTAATTGGAAATTATTCTACTCCTTTAGAAGCTCCTAAAAGAAAGCCAACTAGTCCAAAAACATGCCCACCAGCAAAAAAGCAGTCTTTTCATATATATCAAGAGAAAACGTCCTCTTTTGATCACTCCTTACCTTCGAGAAGTTCAAATTTGCCGAGAGTATTTCCTGCAGTTCTGAACTCCACAGTCAATTTGAATGAATCTGTAAGAGCTGTGAGAAATGGAAAATCAACTCCCCCTCTGTGTAACTGCGGCCGAAGAGCCAAAAAACTCTCTGTGTCAAATGCTGGCCCAAATCATGGCAGAGCATTTTTTTGTTGTCCTGTTGGCAAGCAAGGAGGTAATAAGAAAAGTTGTGGATACTTCAAGTGGGAATATGCGCTTCTGAAAGAGAAATCTAGTGGTCTCACCTTTAATGCAGATGCTTTGACCTCTCTTAGAACTGTTCCTAGTAATTCAGAAAATTCTTCCAACAAAAAGTATTTGTGTCTTAGACCCTCTATGAGAACTTGAGCATGGATACAATTTTTTGTCTGAATCCTAAACTCTCTAAGTTTCATGCTTAATGGAATCAGGACAGTCAAATGATGTCAGATATGTATTCTCAGAATGGGATGAAGAGGACAGTTCTTGGTTACCGTAGAAAGGAAAGTTGCTCAAACACATAAAAATACCAGCAGATCATGAAGCAACTCCTAAATTAAGTGTGAGAGAACAGATAAAACTGTAGCTGTTGCTACAATTTTTAAATTTCTGTTCTATCATATGTTTTAAACACTTTACTAGTCCAGTCCTTAAAGATTTCAATGACAGATTTTATTTGCCCTTTTTTCCCTAAATATACTTGTGATGCTTCCAACTTTTAATTTTTGAAACTTTTGAAACATTTTAAAATCTCTTTACAAGATGTCACACATCAAAAGTGATTCTTGAAGCAATAGTATTCTGTTAAACTCTTACAGAGTTTTTTGTCCTTTAAGTAACAATAAAGATAAGATACTGATATTTCATTAAATACTTTATTTAACACATTACTGTTTTGCTCTTGCCTTTCTGGGTTTCCCATTTCGTTGTATCAGTGTCTGCTTTAGCTTGTTGTATAGCCCCTGGGACAGATAATTGATAGGAAATCAGGTAAGAATGTATTCAAACCTAAACTAAGAAGGATATAGTGTATCCTTCTTATACTTTATACATAAAGTAATGTCTTACTTTACATTACTGTGCAAAACTGCAATGTCTTTCTTTGTAAAAAATCCTGCAAAAAAAGCAGCAAGTACTTTAATTTTTTCTCCACTTTTAGCACAGTTTGCTTCCGGTGGTGGTTTTCTTATGTTGGATTTGGACCAACTGCCTTGGTCAGTTTTTTCCACAGATCAGAACCTGTACAATTCTTACCCCCTTAATTGTCCAAAAATTTTAAGTTGCAGCAGGGAGAGGCGGCTCTTACTGACCAGGAGGCACACCCACACCTTCCTTTAGGAACTACGCTACGGGCTACGACTGTTCTGTTAGCACATGTTCGTTATTTTCCCAAGCCTCCATTTACCTGTTCAAAGTTTCAGGTTTACCTGGTCCCTATTAGCCGCGACACCTTTGGCAGTCGGACAGGCGGGGAAGTGACCGAAGCATCCCTCATCCCTGTCCATGGAGCGCACGGGTCGGTGTCGGACGCGGCGTTGCAGAGCTGGGCCGAGGGCTGCCCGCTCCCGTCCGCTCCGGAATTACTGACACAGACTTTGACTCTAGAACCGCAGCTCGGGGGAAGCGAAAGCAGCAAGGGCTGAGTTTGGCCGCGGCTGAGGGCGTCACCAGAGTGCTCGGCAACCGGCTCCGCGACCCGCGCTCCGGGGGCTCGGTGCCCGGCGGCTCGGTCCCCGGCGGCTCGGTCCCCGGTGTCTCGGTTCCCGGCGGCTCGGTCCCCGGTGTCTCGGTGCCCGCGGCTCGGTCCCCGGTGTCTCGGTGCCCGCGGCTCGGTCCCGGCGGCTCGGTCCCCGGTGTCTCGGTCCCCGGTGTCTCGGTGCCCGCGGCCCGGTGCCGGTGCCGGTGCCGGTGCCGCGGCCGCCGCTCCAGGCGCGGCGCTGTACCGGCCGGTGGGGCGGGCGCGGCGCTGACGCCATCGCGGCGGCGCTGGCGGAGCTCCCGATGGCGGCGGCCGAGCCGGCGGCGCGGAAGCGGCGGCCCAAGGGACACTTCGCGGCGGGGCCCGGCCGGGCCAAGCGGCCCCGCGGCGCCGGGCGGCAGCTGGAGGCCGGCATGCGCGGCATCCTCATCACCTGCAACATGAACGAGCGCAAGTGCGTGGGGGAGGCCTACAGCCTGCTCGGCGAGTACGGGGACCTGCTCTACGGGCCCGAGCAGGTGCGTGCGGCCGGGCCGGCGGGGCGGGGGCCGCACCCCGAGGCCGCGGCTCCCGCCGTGCGTGCAGAGCCGCGGGTGTGCAGCACGGCCCGAGTGTCCCGGGTTCCGCGGGCCAGCCCCTCCAGCCCCGCCGGATCCCGCCCGGGCCGTGCCCCGTGTGGCGGGCCCAGCGCGGGCCGTGAGCTGGGCACTGCCGCTCACCAAGCGATGGTGCCTGTGTGAAGTTTTCAGATCACGAGGAGAGGCTGTCTGGAAGCGACAGGGAGGAGGATGAAGATGATGTCGAGGCAGCTCTGAAGAAGGAGGTTGGCCAGATCCGTGCCTCGACGGAGCAGAAGCTGCGGCGGTTCCAGTCGGTGGAGAGTGGTGCCAACAACGTGGTCTTCATCAGAACCCAGGGCATAGGTGGGACTTGAGCTGATACTGAGTAATGCAAACTCTCAGCACTGTTAGTAGAAGGCCACGGTGTGGCTTCCAAGTGACACGTGTGTATCAAATACCCTTCCCTTTGGCCGTGCCACTGAATGTTTTTGTTAGTGAGGAAGCTAAAGGTAGAGGAAACTGCTTTGATGAAACACTTTGATTCTCTAGTTTTGGTATTCTAAAACAATGCTTTACTTAAAAGGATTTGAGGCTGACAGCCGTGCAGCCAAGTTCCCAGCTTATTATGTAGATTGGGAAGAGGAGAGATAATGCCTTCAATTTTTTGCTCATACCCAACTGTTTTTCTTGTAGAACCTGAGAACCTGGTGCACCATATACTAAAGGATATGCACACCACTAAAAAGAAGAAAACAAGAGTCATTCTACGCATGCTGCCCATTTCTGGAACTTGCAAAGCTTTTATGGAAGATATGAAAAAATACACAGAAACGTTTTTTGAGCCTTGGTTTAAAGCCCCTAACAAGGGTACTTATCAGATTGTTTATAAAGCTCGTAATAACAGCCACATGAGTAGGGAAGAAGTAATTAAGGAACTGGCAGGTATGTATGGATTTCACACAAAACAGAGCAAGTTTGCATGCACAACATGGGGCAGACTATTAACACATTTTTTGCTTAAAACCTCTATGTTGAATCCTAAAAGCTTCTCTAAGACTTAAAAAAAGCTTGACATCAGTATTCCTTGTTGGTGTTGATGTCTTAAGAGACTGTAAGCAGAAGAGAGAACAATGTTGAATATAATTTGCAGTTTCAGTTATATGTGCTTTGAAGTGACTGCTATTAGGCTTTGGTATGCTGTGTTGAAATAATAATGTTGCTATTTCTGTTTGATATTGGACTCATATAAAAGCTCCACCTTACTTGAGTACTTTATTGAATGGATAAAAATTAAGAGAGAAGAGGCAAGATCCCCCTCAGTTATAGCCAATTATTTTTGTAATTGCTTAAAATAGAGGAACAGAGCAGGAATCTCAGAATGTACCAGTAGGACTGAAGTAACTGAAAAATTATCTCACTGCAATTACTGAGAAACAAGACATGCTTATGCTCTTAATGAGTTTTCCCAGCATCTTTTAAATTGCATCTTCTTTTACAGGAATTGTGGGCAGCCTCAATCCAGAAAACAAGGTTGATCTTAATAATCCACAATACACAATTGTGGTGGAAATAATAAAAACCGTCTGTTGCTTAAGCGTGGTGAGGGACTATGTTCTGTTCAGAAAATACAATCTACAGGAGGTGGTGAAGAGCAACAAAGAAGATGCACAACAAAACCCATCAAGTGTGACAAAAGAACAGAATTCAGAGGTAGTTAAAGCAGAAGCTGAGGAGCAGGAGAAGAGCTCTAAAGAAGTAAAAGAAGAGAACAAGAATCAAAGTGAAATAGGATCTGAGTCCAAGGGGACTGATGCTCTGTCAGTGTAGAAAATGGGATATAAGGGAAAGGTAAAAGTAATCCAAACATAAGAAAAGTTGCCCTAGAGTTCTGAAATGGTGTTGGAATGAGGAGAGGGTTTTGTTTTGAAGTCCTGGTTTTAAAATCCACATGTGTAAGAATTTTAATGCTCATTGCAGGTGGAGCTGACATTTCAGCAGATAAAAGGGTGCTCAAGGGTGCATTACCTTTCTGGTGAAGCTTGCTGTCCTCCTGCAGCTTTGTTCTGCATTTCCTGTACCTGGCACAAAAGCTGGGGTCTGTGCATGTATATGTAGATGTGTCCACCCTGACATGTATGGACTCTCCTTTGTTATATCTGGAGGCGACAGAAGCCAAAAGGCAGCACAGAAGCAGCTCTGAGCTATTATTGTCAGAGAGAGCTCTGGAAAAGAGTTGGTTGCAGAGGGTTTTGGGAAGGAAGTGAGCTGACAGCTGCAGAACTTGGTAACATTTTTCTTTGTTAACAATCTGATAATTTGCTGAATATATGTATTTATACATATATTTATATATACACACAGATATGCTGTCTTGACTGGAAAGAACTGTTATATATATAAATACTTGAATATTATGAGATGATTTAGAGTAAAAGATTGGACTGTTTTAGAACAATACAAGTATAGTGCAGGCATTGCAGATGGTATTATCAAAAACTACATGTGTGTTTACATTAGCTGTGTATGCAGCACTTACTGGTTTATAGTAAATGCTGTAATCACTGAATGGAATCCTTTTGAGTAATTCCCTGTAGATAGCCTTTTGCTGCTCTTTCCAAAGACTCAATCCTTGGGGGATTTTATGAAGTGTTTCTGGTTTTATTTTTTTTTTAAGTGTCAAAGTTTGAATTTAAATATTGATTGGAAGCTTCTTATGAGAGAAGCTCTCCATTATAGAATACTAGATAAGGGGAATTAAATTTTAAATTTTGGTACAGTTTTAGCTTTTTGGCATTTATTTCGTTTCAGATTGAAAGTAATGCTAGTGAGTCTTTCTGTTGTCTTATTGTTGCAGTGGACTGTCTCTGTGACTCCTAAAAACCAGCCAAAACCAGTGCAGCTATAACTTGCTTTCCAACAGGGTTTTGAGTATGCCTTCTGTAGAACTTTCTTTAGTATTTCATTTCTAGCATAAAAGCCTTTGTGTTGCTAATGGGAAAACTTATCTTGAAGAACACAATATGCCACTTTTCTTGGTTTAATGAAAAGGATGTGTTCAAGTCTTTCATAATTTATATTTTCCTCTTCTTTCAAAATGGTTTCAAAAGTTGGAAAATGAAGATGACTTTCATTTCCCTAGTCCTATCTCCGTTGCAGCCCATGTATTAAAATTCTGCTTTCTTATGTCCTATGTGGTGTTTTCTTTAAATTTTTGAAGATTTTTGTGTGTGGATTATGACCATAAGTGTCTGAGTCACACAAAGGAAAGAATATCTGAGACCAGACACAAAGGCCAACTGCGAATGTTTATAGATGGCTGATGTTGGTAATTACGGTTCATGACAGCCTGCTTAACTTCTAAGGACAAAACTCAGGGTTTTACTGGGATTTTTTGTTTTCTTTTCTCCTCTCTCATTGACCTGTCTGCCTACAGGGCTTACAGTTTACTTCTGATTGTTCACAGTTTGCACTTACTGAACAGTCATTGTTAAGACATAATTCCCTGGCTTTTCTGCTGTGCCATCACTTTTGGGCTCAGTGGTTCTCCCATGGTCAGATGGTGCTTCAGTGTTGCAAATTCAAACCTTCATGGACAAACTATAAGACATTATTATGTTCTCTGTTACATGAAAAGCCAAATAATTGCTGTCACTGTCATTGCTGAGGAAAGATGTAACAGTGCCCAAACATCAGCTGAAGAGGTGATACACTGATGGTGGAATGTGGTATATTTAACTTGTCCTAATGCTGACTTGGAACTCAAGGATCATCCTTTTGTATGAAAACCTATCCCTGAGATTCACTATTCCCCGTGTGCTAAATTAAAACTCAGATTGGCTTGGGAAACTTGAAGATAATTTCTTCTAAGCCAGTCTCACAGCCTTGGTGTTTTCCAGTACTGATTTACCTTTCTTGAGGGTCACAGCTGTATAATTGAAATATGAATTTACATGTAATTCAGTTCATTTATCATTTCAGTAGTGAAATACAGTAGGGGAGACCTTTAAGTAACACCAGTAACTCCCACTGATTGGAAGCAGCTGGTAATATCCTGTGCCCAAAAGAATCATGCTGCAAAATCATTCCTGTATTATATTCCTGTTCAATGAGCAAACACCCTGTGGTTATGCCATCTTAAAACAGCTAATCCTGTAAACCTAAGAGGCTTAGTTTTGTGGCCTGCCTAGAAAACAACATGAAATATGAGTAACTGTTCATTGTGGGCATGGTGTTCTTACATTTGAGACTGCTCTTGGATCGAACTGTGGCATGGAATATACAAAAATGGATGAAAAACGCTCTGCCAGGACTGCTGTTTGTTGGCTTGGCATGCAAGCACTGCCCACTCCTGCAAGGTTATGTGTGGGCAGTCTGCCTCCCCAGCCCAGCCGTGTCCTGGTGCTGGCTGGTGGCTCCTGCTGCCACTCAGAGCCCCAGAGCCTCCTGGCCAGCTCAGCACTCAGCTGTGGGCAGCAGGGAAGTCAGGGCAGTGATCCTGCCAGGTAGGTAGGCTGCCAGTGATCTGTCTAGAGGATGCCTAAAGGCATTAAGTTCATTTTACAGTACCCTTTTTAGCCTTTCATCGTGAAGAGCTGTTCATCATTATCATCAAGTTTTAGGAATATGGAATAATTTGTATGGAATATTTGTCTTTTAGAGAGTAAACTTGCCACAGCTGTCAATCAAAGTCATTGCTGCCCGCTTTTCTGTGTTTTATGGTCTTATTTAACAAATCTAGACATCATAAGGCTACTTATTTTTATAATTAGCAGTTTGGCTATTCCTTAATATTGCTTTTGTATATAAAAAAGAGACTAAATTGCCTCTTCTCCTGAGCCCTTAGAGGTCTCTCATTCATTAATGAGATACAAGTGTACAAGGGTGTTCAAACATGAGGAAATTTCCACTGGAGACAAGTCTAACAGGACTGAGGTAGAAGGCACTTACTTGAGCAAATGGCTGAAGCTCAGCCACTCAGCCCTGCTGCTTTCAGACACAATCAGCTTTGTTTTCAGAGACTGGCACCTGGATGCAACCGAGTCCACCACAGGAGCAAGAGCATGGGTTGTAATAACACACCTGACCTTCAAAGCCAGCGATTGATAGCAAATGTCAGGTGCTGTCAGTTGTGTTGTCCCTGGGGTGATGATAACACCTGAAAGTGCAATAAAATTGGTAATGTATTAGGTGTTTTTCCCTTTCAGTCCTGATCACAGCTTTTCCTAATTTGCTGGCTACCAGTACCATACAATCCAGAAACAAGAAGGTGGTAAAACAAGTCTCACACATCTGAACTTGAATAGAGATGTGCAGACTTGAAGAACAAAATAGCACCTTTGCTACAGGCACAGTGAAAGCAGGATGCATAACTGTGAGGCAGAAAACACTGGCAACTTTAACTTGAGTCTGTCCCAGTTAAACTGATTGAACATAAGCCATAGGAAGTGAAAGAAAAATGATGAAGGTAATTATATCAGTTGTTAGAGACTACCCCAGTCCCCCCTTTCATATGTTTTTTTTTGATTCAGTCAAATGTTCAAGCAAGGAAGTCAAATAAGAAATATAATTGTTAAATGAATTGTTAACTTTGGGCATAGAAGGTAATAATCTACAGACCACGAGGAATTACACAATTCACCTGTTTGAATACAAACCATGCTCAGCTGCCCCCACTCTGGGATTTGAGGTAGAATCACTAAAATTTGGTCTCCTCTTTGCAGACTGCATGGCCCAGAGAGCACATTGACCACTTTTTTTGGGACATGAAACCCAGCTCTTCAAAGCTCCACTTAATTTCATCTCTTTTTCCAAGAAATAAAGTTGCAACTATCCTCTGGTTTCAGTAGTGCAAGTTCAGATCCATTAAGATTAATGTAATGGACACATTACATTAATGCATTTTGTGCATTTGTTTTCTATTTCTGACCTCAGACAATAATGAGCTTGATAGCTGGAAAGCAAAGAAATATCCATTTCAGAGCTTGAGGGTGTGAAAGAGGCGAGAGGCACCTGCAAAACCTCCTGGCACAAGCCTGGGACTTGTGTTTATTAGCCAGTTGATAACAATTAGTTGTCCTGAAAGGTCATGTGAACAGTTTTACTACACAGCACCTTTGCTGTTTTCCCAGGCTCCTGCTACCAGCAGATACGTTTATGGGTTGTGTGTAGTGGGTTTACAGCAGAACAAGGAAAATCCAAGATAAATAACCCTGTACTTTGTTGTTGTTTTTTGGTTTGTTTTTTCTTGGTTCACTGGTGTTTTTGTGCTCAATACAGCCTTGGTCATAGAGTTCAGCTGCTGCTCATATCTTCTGAATCAAGTGCTGTAGCAGCACGGTGTGAAGTGCAAGGGCTACATAGAGGTAACAAGAAACGTGAGATGTGACCTAGTAGGGATGATCTAAACCTCTGCTGCTCCCATAACCTTGGAACAGCTTGATTGTTATGGAAATATCTCACAGTCTGAACTGACACCTCAGTCCAGGAAATCCTTGATTATATTTAATCCTGAAACTCTATGCAACCCAGTACTGGCTAGACCTGGAAGTCTGATCACCAACAATATTAAAAAACATTCTCACAAAATAATATTTGGCACAGAGTTATATATATTGTGGCTTTCAGTAACAGCACTGCAAATGCAAAAATAAGGACTAGTCCATTTTTCCCTCTTCTATCACTATTTTCTCACATGTACATTTAAAGTTAGAGAGAATATATTACTTTAGAAATATTTCAAAGCAGCAGAACAGCAATGTGTATCTTCCACCCTTATTCAGAAGGTCGTCCTCTTAAGACTGACAGGAAACAGGATGGAATACACAAAATGGAAAACACAAAAGTCCAGGATGAGCATGTTCTGATGAGGAGCTCAGCAGCAAAGAGCACCACTCTCTGTTTCTCAGTTTCTTCCTCTGAATGTTCCTAGAGATCATCTTTGATAGTTATTGAACAAACCCCAACTTGTCTGTGCAGAGAAAAAAATAACACCACTTAGCAGTTTAATTGCAAACTATGCTCCTTTTCTGTGGCAAGCCTGCAAATTTAAAAGCTTCAGTCTCTTCTTAGAATTTAGCTGGTAGGTACCACATCACTCCCACTGCCCAACAAAAAGAGTAAGTAAGCATTTCAAGACATAAAATTAAATATTAACTTTCTCTCTGAAGAAAGCTGTAATACAGGAAAAGGGAAGGGAAGTTTAAAACCCTGCTACAGCCATGTTTGAGCACAATCTTATTTTGTTCACTTTTCTTTTGGTAGAATCACATTAAACAAACTACTTGCTCCCATGGAGGATTCAATTTTCTACACCCACTAGAAGCCTGTGAGATTGTATTTGAAGATAACTTTATTTTGGATTTTAAGGACTGTAAATGTCGTAAAGGAGCCCATTAACAAATTAGCAGCTGCTGAGCTCTGTTGCTCTGCCACAGCTGATGGAAGCTCAGACAGCGATGGTGAGTTCTGAATCTTAGATCTAACACTTGATGTGATGGCCAAACTTGGCAAATTACCCCTTCTCTTACTGATCTTTTCAATAACAAACCCTTTTCAAACAGATAAGCTTATGTACATTTCATTTATAATTTCATTTTTTATTCTTAGAGGATGACTATTTAGGCCCCGATCAAGTATTAGCAGAAGAGTTAGTTTTATATCAACAATCTGAAATCCTTTCGAATAACTAAACCCAAACTCATCTAAAGGCTGCTCTTCTTTTCATTAAAACTTAATTCCAACTTTTGATATTGTGGGAAAGGAGATGAAGTTGTAGATCACTTATAAAATGCTCATTGGACTGGCTAAAATAACTCATGCAAAGTCACAAAAAATCACAATCCAGAAAATCTGAAGGACCAAGTTCCAAACCCATTCTGGAAATGTATTAAGCATTTCAAGACATAAAATTAAATATTAACTTTCTTACTATGCAAGCATAGCAATTTTATGTGCCAAATGCATACAAAACCCATATATTTATATACACCCTATATATGTATATGTGCAACATTAAGCACATACCGTGAATTCTACAACTTACTAATTTCTCATTATGCATAACAGCATCATCTGTTAAAAGATTATTTCTCGCATACTGAACATAAACTCAAGTCCAATTTCATTTACCTCAGAGGGTTTTTAAAGCAAAAGCTTTAGGTTTTTTAAAGCTCATGTCTATTTCAGAATACTTCCAGCCTTGCACTGAGAATTCCACTCCTGGCTAGTGCTTGGAAGATACAAGACACTTTCAAAAGAAAGGATACATACACATGGTTCTCATCCTACCAGCAAAAATGTGGATTTTGGACCTATCCAATAAAACTGCTAATCCCCCATCTGTAACAATGCATTTTTAGGACTTTTACTGCCACTTTTATTGCCACTATCCAGTGGCACCAGATCAGATGTTATTTTCCAACCTCTTAATAATGTTGCATTTTTGGAACCCATTTAGTGACCATACCAGTCACCATGTCCTTTCCATAAGCTTTGGATATCAGGGTAAACTCTCAGGAAATAGTGAATCAAAATATATTTGATGTAAAATACCTTTTCAAATGTGGGCATTATATTTTTTGTTGTCTCTCAAGAATATCAAATAGAAGCTGGGCTGCAAGAGGAATGGTAAGGAGGTCTCAAAGGGAAAGGCTATTGAAGTTGTCTATTGAAAAATTTATTTTTCACCCAGAATAATACAATTCACTCAGGTATTGACATAGGAAACTCTGCAAGCAGGCACTAATATCACATCTTGATGTTACCTGTAGTTTTTTGATGCTCAGGCACTTAACAAAAAGAGATCAGAATAATGGCAGCTATAGTAGTGAAATGTATATGGTGCTAATGGAACGAAAGAAGTTTTGTTAAATTCCAAACAATGCTATATCCGTCCCCACTCTTTATCTCTTAATTCATTCCTCTTGATCTTCCCAGTGACTGTCTTTGGCAATTCTTTGACAAATTCCACCTAGATAAAATAAAGAGAGAAAGCAATGCAGCACGTTCTACCGAGTTGGTGTTCCAAGGCTCTCCAAGCATATGTGGAAAACTGAGAGAACTCCCATCAGTAAGAACTGCCTGCCTCAAATCCAAGCCAAACCAAAGAGCACATTGTGCCACTTGTGAAACCATCTCTGTGGCTGCCTAGATAGCCAAACATCTGTACAGCTGCCTCTCAGCTGACCAAACTGAGTACAGCAGAAGGGCAAATGCCTGAGTGGTACCAGAGTCAGAGATGAATGACAAAAAGAAGAAAGAAAAGGATGTTACAGGCCCGAGGTCTTTAATGGTTATTAGTTCTGTGAGTTCTGCTCCAGTTAGCTAAGGCATTGCAGTAGCTCTTGTCCTGTGGTGCTGGATTACTAAGAAACACCAAGTGTATCCTCTTGGGCTTGTGTCTATTTATCAGTTGTGATGATCAGTAGACAAAAACTTACTCAGATTCAGTCATGTGCCACCCTAAAGGCAAATGCTTGTTTGAAGGTTAAACACAAAACAGAGAGTTGTGATTTTGAGTCTGATTGAGAACATGGAGATCTAACTGGGATATATAAAACCTAGAAAATTCTGAGAAGTTTGAACAAGTACTTTATGCAAATTCACGAAAAACAATCGAAATTAATGTTATTTAGGAAAGGTCTTCTGGAGTCAGTGGTCTAGATGAATCTTTACTGCTGGCTCTTTCAAGTAAATCATGAAAATCTAAATGGTAATTCTCCTGAGCTATAGGGAAGGGTGCCTGTTTTAAAGTTTCTCCTCAGAAATATTTACCTTTCTAGGGTATTTATAGGGAGCAGTAGTTTTCTTGACATGGTCCTGCAAGTCACGAATTAAGCTCTTCAGGTCAGTGGATGAAAAGGTTGGGGACAGAACCACAAATGCTTTCACAACCTGTAAGGTAAAATTAACAAAATGATCTGATACCATTTGTTTTTTAAGGGCTGATGAGCAGTTACCAGTGAGCAGTGCTGCTCAGTCACAACAGTCATGAAGAACAGAGAAACCAGCACATGATAAGAAATTCTTGTGCCCAGCTTCTGCATGTGTATGGGCAGAAGCTAAAGTTTAAAGGACAGTTTTTGTGCCCTCATTACAAATAAGGGCCTTTCCCTTTTCTTCCCGGCAGCAGCTGAGAGGACAATGCAGTAAAATGTCTCTTTGTAGAGTCCTCTCTGAAGCTAAGGGACATTTTATTTCTCTCTGAAGTTCACACTGAGGACAGTAAGCACTCTTATCCTGGCACAGGATTGTGATTCACCACACCTGCAGCCCATGTCTAATGCTTGGGCAATTGCAGTAGAACTTTGGCTACACCAAGAGTCATAAATGACAATTTAAGTGTATAGACAAATGCTTAAGAACAAGGGCAAAGTAAACATCACAGTAGTGTTCTCCACAGAGAAGACCTTGGGATGAAAAGAAACTCAGAAGAGCAAAGGCATGTAAATGGGAAAGGATTTTGCTTGTCAACCCCACTAGGATTATCCATGATGGAAGTAGATGGGGTGCTTAGGGACATGGTGTATTTGAGGACCTGACAGTGCTGGGTTCATAGTTGGACTCAGTGATCTCAGAGGTATTTTCCAACCTAAACAATTCCATGATTCTAAGATGACATTATTGCCTTAGAGCTGTAAGTTTTTCAGTAAAGTAGAAATTCCTTGATATCATTATATATTTGGACAAATGCATTGCTTTCCCCCCTCCATTCAGCATCATTACCTCTCCTCTGAGGGGGTCTGGGCTGCTGACAACAGCTGTTTCCACCACAGCTGGGTGCTCTATAAGGGCACTCTCTACTTCAAATGGCCCAATTCGATATCTAGGCAAGGAAAAATAAAAATGAGGCTTGGCTCTTATTTTTTGTCTGGAAAAAACAGCACCAAATGTTTTTAAATTTTCATGTTGAAATAAAAAAACAAAGCCAGAACAAATCAATAACCAACTATAGAAGTTTTAGGCAAAATGGGGCATCTGGCTGGGTTAGAAGGAGGAGCATTTCATAGTGGTCTTTGTGGCAGAGGACTGCTGGGGCTGTGGATATTTCTCCATCTGTCCTCTCTCCTTGGGGCTCTTAGGCTGCAGGTCCATCCCACCCTGTAGCTGAGGTCTGCAGCAGCAGCCTGTGCCATGTTATGGAATCACATCATAAAATATCAAGTTCTTTCCTTTCAACATGTTAAAAATAAATTGTTTCAAAAGCTCTTTGAATCCAATAGAGGTTCCTTCAGTTTTAGTCAAAAAGTAAACTAGATAAACATCCCTCCTTTGCCAACTGAAGTCTTCATTCTTTGTTGAAACACATGAGATATTGCAGGGGAAATGGATCCAGTATCATCACAGATGTGGGTCTGTGAAAGATAGTAATAACAGCAAGCACTCCAAAGTCAAGAGGTCAGTGCATTCCTGTCACAGGATTATGATGCCAGAAGCTCACGTGTAAGAATATACAACACCTGTGAGAATATACAATGGCAGATTTAGAATGTGCATGTGCAGACTAACCCTGAAGAAATGATGATGTCATCGTTTCTGCCAATAAACTGGAAATATCCCTCTTCATCCATAGTCCCTCTGTCTCCAGTGACATAAAAATCCCCACGTTCGCTTTCTGCAGTTTTCTTGGGGTTATCCTTAAAGTGGTTTACAAGCAGTAGTTTAGATTTTGAGCATGCATTAGCTATACGTTATGCTATAACATACATAACATCAAATGCACTGGAACTTGATTTTTCAGTCAAGGATGTACTGATATTGCTAAAAAATACAATAGTTTTAAAATTATTTATATTCTTTAAGGAAAAAATAAAAACTCAATTTGATCCTAAATTGTTTTCTTTTACACCACCAATTCAAGTAAACAAATTACTCTGGTAATAAATAATAAAATGGTGAAAAATGTCCAGCCTTTAGGACCACTATGCAATTGGAGAGCTTTTGGGGAGATTGGTAGTGGTGGTGAGGAATAAAATAAAGTTCTTACTAAGTATTCAGAGAAAAAACCAAGTGGCCTTTTAGGTTTGCTTCTGATAGCAATTTCCCCCTGTTGTCCTGGAGGCAGGATATTGGCATTTTTGTCTATGATCTAGAATGAAAAACAGTTCATAATTTAGTCCAGTGGAAAAACAAACTCCAAACACAAACACAACCAAACAAAAAATCCCCCATGACGGAACCAAAGAGCAGTCAACAAACCTGAACATCATAAAGGGGAGCTGCTTTCCCCATTGATCCCGGTTTAATCTTCATTCCTTTAAAAACAGAGCAGATTATTCCCTGTAAAAATCAAAATCAAACCAAAGCTTTTTAAAAGAAAATTGCTACATTCACACTTAATTCATTAAATGTAGTTTCTAGACTAATTCCAAAGTAAAGAATTAAGATTCATAGGATCCTATATATCAGTGCTGTGTGGTACTGATAAGCAAAATCATAAAACTCCCTGAAATTATCCTGTTCCATTATCTGTGAAAAATTCATGTCCTCTGCTAACCAGTCTTCTTCCCTTAGATTCAAACTCTGATCTCTTGACTGACACTGTTACTTGGAATTAGCTAAAGGACATTTGTGGAAATATTACAGCACATTCCCTCCCAAACCCTCATGTTTCTGGCAGGTTCTGTGAGGAGAGCCATGAGAGGGAGTTCTTTCAGAGGTTACCAGGAAAGGGAGTTACTGAAACATTCACAGAAATGTGAAGGAAGGAACAGACTGTGTTCTTACATAGCAAACCTTACAGCAAAAAGAAAATCCAAAGATTTAATAGGCTATTTTCCCTACAGATGTACCGTTTCAGTCTGGCCATATACTTCATGGATGTCCAGCCCAGTCTGGCTCTTCCACTGCTCCATGACTTCTGGGTTGAGTGGTTCCCCTCCACTCATGCAGTACTTCAGGTTCATGAATTTGTATCTTCACAGGGAATTAAAAACAAGAAAGGGAATACTTAAATCTAGAGGGAGAGACCAGGAGCACGCAAGGGTGAACACCATGGGAGAGCTGTTTACTGGGAGAGTTAGTGCCACAAAGTGGGGAAATCAGAGGGGCCCTGATCCCACTGTTCCCAATACAACAAGGATATCACTGTGTTCAACACTCTATGTAAGTAGCAGTCAGAATTAAGCATGTGAAAAATAAAATTGTTGCTGAGGTCAGCTGGGATTATAAATAACCAAATACTGATCTGCTGAGCCAGGGCCCTGATTGCTGACCCTCTGCAACAGGCCAAGCAGGAAAGTTCAAGAGGGAAGGAAGGAACAATGACAGGCAGTGAGAACTAGAACAGGGGGTGAGGTACAACTGCCACAACAAATAATTCCCTCACAGTTATGCTGACGTGCACTTTCTAGGATGAAGTCCTTCCCAAAGTCTGGACAATTAATGTGGGAGACAAAAATTACGACAAAGTATTTAACAGATTCTCAGTTTCACACTCACAAGTACAGTTGCATAGGTCTCAAACTTCTGAGGGAAAACATCAAGTTTCTCTGACCAAAAACTCAGCAAAACTCAAATTTTGCATGATGGTCTTCTCGTGAAGGATATTTTAAACTAAATTATTACCCTATTTTGGGTCAAGCAGTTAGATATAGGAGATGACTACATTTAGTTAGGGTAAATTAAACATTATTAAACAATTTTTTACATACTTAGACAGATCATTTTGCACCAGCATGCGGAACAATGTTGGAGCACCAACTAGGGCGTCAATTGGGAATCTGCAGAGAGTCTAGAGGGTTAAACAATAAGAAGGACATGTGAAGCTCAGGCAAAAAACTGCCTTTGGAATGTACAGTAAACAGGTGACACAGGAAGGAGAAGTACATTTGTCCCCTATATAAAAGCACCACATCCTCTGTTGGGTGAAGAACCCTCCTGCAGTTGGTGCAATATGCAGAGATTGTAGATTTGATTACAAAAATCCCATGCTAATACATCTACCTGACACCAGGACCTCACAGTCTGGGACATGGCCAGAATAGTTCCTCCTCTGTCTACATCACAGGGAGGTGTTCACTTTCATCTTGGCTGGTGTGGGCACAGAAACACTTCATTTCTGCATTAATACCCACTGATACTATTTCCATGGTCACTAGAGTGAATGGCAGGTATTTAAAGCTGCTTTTGGAAGATTTTTTTCACGTGCTTACCAGCTATGAGTAAAATGTATGAACCATTGCATGTTTGTTCCCTTCTGTATACATTAAAAATTAAAATAGGGCTTTACACAGCAAATACAATATCTCAAACACCACTATAAACACAACCCTCATGAAATCCGAGGATGTCAAGAATTGGTTTTGGCATGCTTTCTGCAGATGAATACATTTCCATGAGTTTTCCCCTTACATTCAGGATGACTTCTGAGTCGGTCTGTGGTAGGTTATGTATAAAGATGCATGATCCAAAAACCCAAGGATCAAAAAAAGATGCTATTGAAGTTAGTATCCATCCTGTGTCTGCAGTGGTCCATATCATCTGAGAGGGAGTCAAATCCAACCAGTACCTGATAGGAAAAAAAAAAAAAAGTATAACAAAATATACCCAGAAAGAGGGTAAGAGATATTAATTGGAAGATTGAGACACTGGGGTGACCCTAGTCCCTAGCAATTTTATGGGGTTTTTACTCTGTTTTGAAAGGGAGAAAGGCCAGGGATGCACACTGGTATTTCTTATTCACTAATATTTTACAATAGCTCTACTATGCAGCTTCAATTATCTTATGTTCAACCAGGCTTAACTCTTTCATACCTTTCACTTAAAAGGGGTCTGAAACCAAGACTACCCTGGGAATGTTGAGTCATCTTTGGAAAACCTGTAGTTCCACTGGTAAAGAAGATAATCATTGGGTCTTGAATGCTTGTTTTGATGCAGGAATGGTCAGCAGATTGGTTTCTGTAAACAGGAGAATGTAATTATAACTTCAGTGGCTGTAGTTGATGTAAATGAGTGCTTGTGGGAACAGGTCTGCTTCGTCCTTGTGTCCAGTGGCACTCAGTCGTACTCACTGGTACAGCTCAGTGAAGTTCAGCCATCCCTCCCTGCTGCCTTTGGACACCATTAGCTTGGTTTTCAGGAGATGGCACTGGGATGCCACTGAGTCCACTGCAGGAGCCAGTTTGTCAGTGGTAATGATGCTCTTAGCCTTTGATGCCTGGAGTCGGTACAGTATGTCTTTGGCAGATAATTGGGATGTTCCTGGGATTATGACAATTCCTGCATGAGAGATAAAGTTAGTTTGTGTTGGCATTTTTTCTATGTCTGATTCTTTTCTAAGAACCTAAGCTACTAAATATTCCCAAACTGACCTCTGATACAGATTTGCCCTGGTGTTCCCCAGCTAAAGAGTTAGATTAGATTAATGCAGATGCCTGTGCTCTCCTGTCAGGAATTAAATGTGGACCTGCCTGGTGACTCCCATGGCTCTTCCCTGCCTTCTGGCTTCTTCTTGCCCATTGCATGAGCTGCCTTTCCTATGGCCCCCAGTGAAAACCCTTCAGGACTGCCCAGCAGCTAGTCCACTCACTGGATTATTACACTATTTTCCCTTGATAAACCATATCCATTCTTGATCCTCTCAACCAATTTGCAATGACCATTTGACCTCACTAACCTGCTCGCATACAAGCCACATTGACCAGCCACCATTCTGGAATTCGTGGTAGGATCAGGATAAGCCTGTCTCCCTTCTGCAGCCCACATTCTTTAGTCAGTGCATTGGCCACTTTGCGAGACAGGAACCCCAGCTCCTCAAAGCTCCACTTCACTTCTTCTCCTTCACTATTTATCCACCAGAAAGCAGGGTTTGATGGTCTCTTTCCAGCCTACAAAACATAGGAATTCAAACATAAAAGATTTTCTTCTGAAAGACCATGAAATAATAATGCACAGACATCTGTAAATTATGGAAGATCTGAGTATTTGACAGCTGGCATATAAGCTTTTTTATTTTCTTGTCCTTAAAGGATCGAGATTTGCTATTCATCAAGCTCAGTTATTCCCAAAAGATTCTCCTTTTCTGAACCTGAAATGTTTACCAGCCTAATTGTCTCCCAACCCAAGTCCTAGTCTGGATCCTATTTCAGTTTAAAACTTTTACTGTGCATCAATGCTCCTAAATAAATAACAATAAATGAAGCAAGAAAGAATGAACTTTTGTATAATTTCCTAATGCAAATTTGGTTTGGCAACTGACTGCTTTTAAAAAGAAAAAACCCCATCTTATTCCAAATGAAATTTAAAATTAAAGTATTTAATTGGCACAACAGAAGATCACCTACCTTTTCAATCTCAGACCATTTGTCCAGTACATCACTTGCAAAGTTAAAGTATTTTGGTATTTCCTGTTTGCCCTGTCTGATGGACTCATACAGGGAATATACGTCAGAGGAAAGCAGCCTGGGATGTCCATGGAAAGTCCTATTAAGAGGCTTCAGAGTCCACAAGAGTTTCAGATTCTGTAACTTCAACAGCAGCTTCATGGCAGAAGACTATGTGTCTAGATGCTGTAGACTGTATAAGAAAATTGCAGAATTGTCGCTATGAATACTGCAATAACCAAAAAATCAAAACCCAAACCAACAAAAAAAGAAAAAGAATATTGAGATTATACAAAGATAATCCAGTTATGAATTAATGAGTTTTTCATTTAAGTCACTTAGGCTAGTCAGAGCCAGACTGATTACTTTAACATGCTAATTAAATGTTAAGTTCCCTATCTTGCTTTCTTGTGTTTTTAATTTTTAAATTAATTATCCACAACTCTCCATAGTAAAACACAACATCAGATGTTATTGTTTATATTAGAAGAATATATAGAAGAATATACTGCTTCATACATTCAGTACCCGAGCCTCTATTCCTTTTTCTTTTTTGCTTGTTTCCAAACTAGTTCCATCAACAATCTCACTGCTTTAGCCTCAGCAGTTGCTGACTGATTCATCCATTCACCACATCAATCTCAAGAACCTTCACTTTGTTATGTAGCCCCTGAGTTTTATAAAGACTTTTCTACTCATTTTCCTCACCTGTCTGCTGTGGACAGGAAAGATCAGGAGCTGCTGGGGGAGATCCTCTTCATTCATTTCACTCACCTGTTAGGACATGTTTCCCATAAGAGACACTGCAAGGATCAGCTGTTCCCTGGAGATGTGAAACCTGGAAACTCCTTCATAAAGGTTCTGGAGTGAAACTCTTCTGACTTTATTGCTCACTTCTTCCGGAGTAACGAGAACAGAATGTGGCACAAAACAGACCAAGCAGCAGAATTCTTTCTGTGGAGTAACTTTTTTCTTGTAATCATTTACATCATTGTTAATTGTGGATCATTTGCACCTTAACCTAAAGCATTCTGGGTCTTCTTTTTCCTCCAGTTTAACCATTTAAGTACATCACAAATTCATCATGATGAAGAGAAGCATTAAAAAGATTTTTTTTTTCTTTCCACTCTGAAAGAATTTAGGATGTTACAGTGGTAGTTATTGACAAGAATATGTCAATGTGCTGCTAATACCCACCACAGGACAAAGATTACTTTTATAAATTTCTCTTTTATTTATATGTATCTAAGAGTTGTAGTTATACTTTGTTCGAGTGTTTTCTACTTTTTCTTCCACAAGTTGTTTTTTGCAATGTTTCCATGTGTTCTGGGTCCTAAACATGTGCCATGTTTGATATGTTATGGTTGGCACAGGTAATGGAATATTTATCTCCTTGTTTTCCAGATTAGTCTTGCTCTTTTTATACTTTTGCCCACTCTTTGCTCCTTAGAACATTTCTCTGGATTTTCCCAGTAACTGTCTTTGGCAGATCCTGAACAAACTCCACCTGAAAGGCAAAAATACGTCCTGGTTAAACTCCCAGCTGAAGGAAAGACAATATTTCATTATGGCTGGGGATGAAAGAATGGGAAGCTGCACAGCCAGGGCTGGGATGATGAAATGCTGACTGAATGCCTTGCCCATTTGAGCTGCAGTGAAAACTCCAGGATTCCACAAAGAAAGACTGGGCCCTCATAAAATAAAATTTCACCACCATTGCCTCCCTCTGGGTCCATTCTAGCACACACAGCTAACCCAAGGCTACAGCTGCAACAAACCCTATTATCAACTTTTATTTTATCTACCTCTGGTCGCAGTGTTTGTCAGAAAGCTGTTGAAAAAGAGCTGAGGCAGGACAAAAATTACCCAGTTTCTGGTACAGTGAGAGAACCTGTCCTTTTGGGCTGGACTTACCTTCCTTGGATACTTGTATGGTGCAGTCACCTTCTTAACATGCTGTTGAAGCTCATGAATTAATTTTTCTGGATCATGTGATACAAAAGCAGGAGCTAAAACAATGAAGGCTTTGACCACCTGTGCCACAAAAATGAAGGGGTTCCATTAACTTCCAGAGCTGGCAATAAGGGAATCTATCTGTTGTGAAAAGTGAATGTCAACATTCAGAATGCCAAAATTTGATATTTTTCTTTAATTTCCCTTTTCAATAGCTGTTTATTACAGAATGCTCTGCTATGAAGGACTCATTCTGCAGCAGAGGATTTTTTCCATATTTCCAGCTTTTTTTTTCCCTTAAAGTTATATCATAATAAAGCTGAAAATCTTGACTCTGTTGCTCAAAGAAATGTTGCAAATATAGAAAATATAAAACAAAAATTCAACACTCTGGATGTCATTGCTACAGTGCACTAGGTGACAAAACAAGAAATAATCAAAATTTCATTGCTTAGAAAAAAAAAATCTTTACTAGTCTGAAAAGCCAAACTATATTTCCACATGAAAAGATGCAAACAAATAAACAATTTTGATACTGTAAGATCTATTAAGATATGGATTTAAAAAAAATTTAGCCCACCCAATTTCAAAATATGCAACATATTGAATTCCAAGGAAGCCTAGTACATATAAGGAAGTTAATACTTAGTAGAAAGGGTATTTATTTTACATTTTTTCCTATTTTGTTTTACCTCCCCTCGCACTGGGTCAGGACTGCTGACAACAGCCGCCTCTGAGACTGCTGGGTGCTCAATCAACGCACTCTCCACTTCAAATGGGCCAATGCGATACCTGGGGAGCACAAAGGCAGCTCAGCCCAGCAGCATGGACCAGTCCTTTGCTCCTTCCAGGCTGCGTTTCAGGAGGCAAATCTAAAAGGAAATGCCTTACCCAGCAGAGTTAATGATATCATCAGCTCTTCCAACAAACCAGACATATCCCTCTTCATCCATAACGCCTCTGTCCCCAGTGAGATAAAAATCTCCACACACAGAGGCAGCAGTTTTCTCTGGATTATCCTGACAACAATCAAATATTTCAGAAAACATTTCTGATTATTAGTGAAGCATAATGCATTTCCTTAGCAGTGGTGCAAAGAATGATAGAAGTAATTTTTTCAGTTGTTCTGAAAATTAGTGTGTTTAATACTGTTTCATATTTTCAACTAAAAGACCCAGAGCCATATTAATTAGCAGTTTGATGCCTGAAGTATGTGACAGGTGGAAAAGAGCACTGCACACTAAAGAGTGTATGTAGAGATTTCTGTTCAAGAGAGAAAAGGTTATGGTCTATCAAAATGCCCATCCATCACAGCAAATGTGTAACCCACAAAAATGTGTAACCCATTCTGTTCAGGGAAATGATTTATCATTGCAGGGAGTTACCACAATAACATCCTGTCAAAAAAAACTTTTTACCCTTAGCTGACAGGACCAAAACTCAAATGAGGTCACCTGCAGGAAAAATTTCATTATTTGCATTGACTTATGGAACCTCTACATCCAGTGTAACCTTGGTTACGCATTTGGACAACAGAGGACAGACTGAAAACCAGAAGCTATGGTCTTGAACTTGTAGAAGTTTCTTATCCCCTAGCCAGAAAATACATTTTACAAGTTGTTGTTTGAGGATGCTACAAATACCCAAATATTATGGGGGTCCAGAAAATGATAAAAACCATAGATAGGTCCCCCAAAGTTTATTCATTGTGACAGTTTAGTTGCAGGGGAGACTATCGTTAAGTTTGCCTCAGTCCACTGTTTTCTTAAGAATGTCCTGCACCTCAGCATCACCACACACTGATCAGGCTCAAAGTCCTCAAGTAACCCAGTGAGGCTTTCTGAGGATCCTGCATGGAATTCTGCTCCTGGCAGACCTTTGCCCTGGCTCTCTGCTGAGTCTCCCAGCAGACACAGACACAGCAGGTCAGGCTCACCAAGTACTCGGAGAACAGACAGAAGGGTCGTGTGGGCTGCACCCGGACAGCAATGGTGCCCTCTTCTCCTCTAGGCACAACAGCCCCACGGTCATCTACGATCTGCAGAAAGGACAGACACAGCATTGTGCTTTGATCAGCTCAGAGGAACATCTGCTGCAGCTCAGTGCAGGGCACAGAGGGACGCAGACAGCACTGCCTTGCTGTTCTACCCACAGCTGCCACATACCTGCACATCATAAGGGGGAACAGCTTTTCCCAAAGAGCCAGGTTTAATTTTCATTCCTTTCATATTGGCACAGATTGCCACCTGCAGAATAGATTTTGTTTTAAAGATTTTTAAAAACTGTTGCAACATCTTGTAAATTTTATTATTGTTTGTATTAGGCATCTTTCCATGATTTTGTTGTGACAAGGGCTGAATCAGGACCAAAGAACTATGATTTTTTTGAGAACATAAGAGTGGGGTTGAGAGGCATTTCACATCAGACCTGTGTGAGCTTTGTTTTGTTGGGTCTGAGCTAGTGGATTGTCCTGTAAACACTTGACTTTTATTTTGCAGGACAGCAGATTATTATTACAGATCTTATTTCAATACTGGGACAATTAATTTGGAAACATTTCAAGGGCAAAATGAAAGAAATCCTGAGATCTCAGTCTTAATATTTTTGTTAATGTTCACTTACAGAGAAATCTGGGATGTGAGCTGGTTTAATATTTGCCATTAAAAACTCAGTCAGGCCAAATTGATAGCTGGAGCAAATTATGTTTTCAGGGTTGTTTGAAGTAAAGATGATAAAGGGATCTCCTACAACTTATTTGATTGGAAGTGTCTCTGGCATGGTTTTTGCAGGGGTCTAAACCATTAGAACATGCAGCTTGCTGATTCTGGAACTGTATAATTACAATTATACAAAGTATTTTTTTTTTTTTTTAATCATATAAGTGATTCTCACTTTTTCCATTGATTTATCAAGGACATAGTGGCTCTGGTATTCTTACCCTTGAATGGGTATACTACAAGAATTAATGCAAACGTACTGTTTCGGTCTGGCCATAACCTTCATGGATATCCAGCCCTGTCTGGATTTTCCACTTTGCAAATACTTCAGGATTCAGTGCTTCTCCTCCAGTTGTGCAGTGCTTCAGACTTGGGAACTTGTAGCTTGAGAGGAAGAGCAAATGAAATAATTCTCTTAACTCCTAAAATAAGCAGTAAGTAACCTTAACTAAACAGACTTCCTCAGCTTTCCAAGTACATCTAAGGCTGAAGGAAAGACTAAATAGGAAGACAGAGCCTGAGCTCTCTGTTAAACCTGGGTTGGTTTTTGGCAGGATGAAAGACCTATGTGACCAGAATGAATACCTTACCAAAGATGTGAAAACTCCTTACAAACCACTTCTCACAACCTGGGTATTTCACAGAGTAACAAACCAGGAAGAACAGCTACCAAATAACTCTCAGCATGTGGAACTCCTCTAACTGCTCCCTTCATTCTCAAACATGTGAGAACAACTCCATGGTGTACCAGCTGATCCAATGCTGCCTAAAACATTGACTGAAATTGAACTGTGAAGCCTAAATTCAGAGGAAGTGACAGCTTAAAAAAAAAAAATCTTCCTTGTTTCCTCTGTGCTGTCTATTCAAAGACCAAGTGCTGAAGCCCAAGCAGCGTATGGTGTGGCTAATTCTTCTCACATTTGAAAACTGAGAGCCTTCTTTACTGAGCGCAAGCTTTGCTAATTAGGTTTCCTTGAACTGAAAAAGAGAATTAAGGAAGCTAAGGAACTAACCATGCAGAACTGTCCCAGCATTATACCCCAGCCTCCCTCCCCTCCCTGCGGTACCTGCTCACATCATGTTGGACCAGCATGAGGAAGGCGGTGGGAGCCGTGCAGAAGGTGGTGATGGGATATTTTGAGAGAGTCTAGAAAAATAGGAAGTTATTGTTCTGGACAGAAAGTGTAATGCTGGGTCTGACCTTGTGAATGTGCAGGTGATTAACACAATTTACATGCTCAAATGTCTGCAAGATGAAAACCCTAAAAATGCTGTACCAGACAGTCCAACTCCTGCAGAAAATATAGAACTTTCTGTCCAACAGAAGTCATTCATGTAAATGAAGGACCAGTGAGAACAGTAGTTCCAATTAAAGGGTTTTTTGGGGTGTTTTCCAAGGTGTCTTTGTCCTAGGCTCAAGCCTAATTGGTGATAGGGAACTATACCACAGCT